ATATATATATATATATATATATATATATACAGTATATATATATATATATATATATATATATAAATGAGAAGGGGAAGAGCTGCATGGTGTTTGAGGGCTTTCACTTTTTAAAATCAGAGTAGATCTTTACCATTTGTGCCCACTGAGTTTTGACACGGCTCAAAAATCACTTAATATGATGCAGTTGATGCATAAACCTCCAGCTTTATTGTAGCTCATACATTATTGAATAACAAAAATCTAATGGGTAAAATGTTTTTGTGTTTTATCTACTCCCAAGTCGTGTCTTTACCAGAGAAGATGCATCTGGGTGATGAGATTTGTGATGCGATTAATATGCAGTACAGTGATTGGGAGGTATGGCTGTGTTAAATGACACCCGTGTGAAACTTGTGTTGGTGTCTTGGGGCCCATTTCAAGAAGCAGGTTTAACAAATTCAGATTCAAATCTAAATTGATCTAGCCTAAAGTTGAGAACTCTGAGTGTTTGGTTTCACAACCGCTGCTATCAATTAGCAAATCAATTTTTAACTAGGTCCACTCAAAGTGCATGCGCAACAGGTATGAAAAGCCATTATCATTGGAGCACCAATTCGATGAGTCACCATGCCAACAGGCAACAGGAAGTGCCTAATTCACCCCACTGGAACTAGAGATTTTAATGCAAAACAAGAAGGAAAAAAAAAAAAGGGACAATGTGTTTAAAAGACGTAGAAACAGCACTTCAGCTACAAAGGAGAAGATTGTTGCTCGAGTTAATTCATACATTTATTTGAAGTGGGCCGTTTTTACATTTATTAAAAGCACTCTCCTCTCTGTCTTTTCCATTTGTAGATCACTAAAATTAATTATTTCTGATCAAAACCACACTCCTTAGACTGGACTATAATATATTTTATAAATTACAAAATTATACTATTAAGAATTAAGTTTTATATATCTAGAAATGTTAAGTCATTTTAAGTGGCCATTCTGACTTTTATCAGCTTGACTGTAAATGCATTTATATGTGAAGATTTTTTCATAGTTAAAATAATACAGATGCTGACCAGTAATATTAGGAATATGGAGATCTGAAATTAATTTCTAGACAACCTAATGTTTATTCTAGATATGGAGAGTGACATTTTGTTTGAAATGGTAATTTAGACAAAACCTTTTTTTTTTTTCAAAATGGCTTGCCACAGGATATTGTGAATGATGATTATTTCTTGAATAGATCAATACCATACCAACTGTATTTATGAAGCACTTTATACACTGACAAGACCAAGACAAGTGCTGTACAATCATAAAATACAATGCAATTATAAAAAGGTATTTAAGTGAAAATTAAGTCTTAAAACATTGTTCTAATATGTAAAACCTGTGCATCATCTCATTTGTCCCTCCTCATTTTGATTCAGTCTTCTTTTACACAGTAAGGTGGCTGTTTGCAGCTGCGCTTCAGATGTTATCATCCCAATAAATGGTTGTGATTGGCGGCTATCAGTCCCATAGGAGGGCTTCAGATTGTGCAAGTAGGCACAATAGCTTGTTATGGAGTGAATCCTAATCCTAACTCTAAAGTAATTCCTTTTCGCTCATGGAATTTGTTTGATCCTAAAATAATTTCAGTAGTTCTTCATTTACTGTTTATATAGCTAAATAAAAATAAAACAATCTGCTTCTCGCTCATATTAAACAAACTTATGACAAAAAAACTGACTAAATCAGGAAATAAAACAACATGCTTTGTTGTAGGGAGAGTGGAGACAGAGGAAACTGAGTTCACTAAAGAAAACCTGCTATCGACCAGGTTAGCTCTGAAGAGAATGTTGCTACAGTGACTGAAACAGAGTTTGACTAAACTCTCTTTGTGAATTGGAAAAGTCAGAGTTTCCCGGTTTTCAGGTTTAGAAGACTTAGAGTTTTCGGTAAACCTGCTTCATGAAACGAACCCTTGGTGTCTTTTTTTAACCAATCACCGTGAGACTTGTTTTTTCCTCTTTGTATTTCTGCAAGATTAGTTTTTGTTCCTCAGAGGACACATACGGCGTTCTCCATTCTGTGCTCCGCCCCTTTATAGGGGTGTGTTCACAGATTCATGATTAGTTGGGTCTACTGTAGTTAGTGAGTTGATAACCAGGTTTGGGGTACTGCTTGGCCTGATTACCATTTTTGTGGATACCTTAAACTGGATAGGCTTGGAGTAACCTGAAAGAATGAGCTCATGTTGTTGTACGGACCTCTGGTGTTGGTCCACTGTTTTTTCTGAGCTCTAATATCAATGCAGCGGTCTTCCTTGGAGGTTTTAGAGCACTCCATGCCCCTTGCTGCTGACCAACTTTATGGACATGCAGATTTCATTTTCCAACAGGACTTGGCACCATCACACAACATTACCATGGACCATGGTATCCCTGTTTTTAATTGGTTAGCAAACTAACCTGACCTTACCCCATAGACAATCAATAGCAGGGATCTCCAATAAGATCTACCGTCCTGCAGATTTAAGATGCATCTCTGCTCCAATCAATCAAATTAAATGACTGAATTACCACTTCAGCATGCCATCAACTTTGGCAGAGGCCTATTAACAAGCCAGTCATTTAGCAGAGATTGAGCAGGGATTTATCTAAAGCCTGCTGGACGGTAGATCTTAAGGCCTATTTTTGGAGGCCCCTGATCTGCATGGTATTGTGAAGAGGAAGATGTGATACACCAGACCTAACAATGCAGAATAGCTGAAGGTCACTATCAGAGCAACCAGGGCATCATCATAATGTCTAAGCAGTACCACAGACTAATCAACCCCATGCCACATCGCATTACTGCAGGAATAAAAGCAAAAGGAGCCTCTACTAAGTGTTGAGTGCCGTACATGTTAATACTCCTACATATTTAGTTGGTCAACATTTCAAGAAATCTTTTTTTTTGTCTAATTTTCTTAGACTTAATTTGCAGCTTTCCTTAGCTGTCAGTTATAATCACCAAATTAAAAGAAACACTTGAAATATATCAGTATTAGCGCAGTATGGTTATAATGAATAAATATGATATACAAGTTTAAACTATTGAGTGGGATTACTAAAAAAAAAACAACTTTTTCATGATATTCTAATTTTATGACCAGGTGGGCTTCCATTCCAATAGTTGGACATGGAAAACAAAGATGATGGATCTTCTGGAATGTATTTCCCAAATCGGGATCAGTCCAAACCAAACAGTCATGAATCAGACTGTGTTCCTTCAGCTTTCAGAGTCCATTTATCCAGTAAACAAGAGGGACAATCAGTAAGAAACCTCCTCTGTAGCTGTTTGTAGTTCCTATAAGAAAGAGCATAATTAAAGTAAAATACCTATTTTTACAAACCTGAAATTCTTAGCAGGAAAAAAAATTTAATTTCAAGAATAAAACATTCAATAAAATTCTTATTGTAAACCTACCACTTCCTTCTAATGGTTGATGGTTTGTTTTTGCCTCATGATCTTTCATTGGTCGCTCTATTTGATAAGTAGGTTCTTGATTCCCTATAGAGGAGAAAAAAGGCTTTTAGACATTATGGATATAAAATCTATAACCCAAAGCTTTTAGGGTTATGGACTTTGTTTGCTGTAAACTCTCTATAACCACAAACTATGAAAAATCGTCTACTCACCAAATACTTGCCATGATTTTAATTTGTGTTCATTTTAAATGCAATGAGACAAGAATAAAATAACAGTCTATCCGGTGGAAAATCTCCAACATGGGTTGCAAAGAATTTCTTTTTCTGAATTATAAAAGGTTTAACTAATATTTTTATATGTATTCAATTAATAATTCAAATATCAGGGCTTATGATTAATGCTTTAAATTTGTAATAGCAAATTATTCTTAAATTGGACATTACCATTTTTCCTAAAGGGAAAGACTTGGACTACATAATTTAATGTTTGAACAGACCACACAATACTGGTAAAATTCAAGGTTCATTCCGTTTATGTCAAATTGTTACCTGCAAGTATTATTATATAGTAAGTATTAAAATGCTGGAATATATATATATATATATATATATATAAAATTTTTAGCTCAAAACCTCGCATTGTTTGCATATAGCGGCATTATTAGCTAATCTGGTTAGAATAACTGAATGCTACACATTTCAGACTTTAATTTATAAAATCAATTTACCTTGTCTCTTGTTATTCAAACGGTGTATTTGTAATAAAATTCTAAACATTCCAGTTCTGCTTGTGAGGCTCTCTTCAATGAGATTGTTTTAAAAGATGAGCTTTACTCACAGATGACCACTGCAGTGAGGTTTTGAGATGTCTCCACTGGAGGTTGCTGGGGTCCTGCAGGTCGCAGATCTAACTTGGCCTCACACCAGTACTGACTTCCATTGTCTCCTCTGGAGGGAATGATGTTCAGAGTGAAGCTTTCATTTACTGGCTTCTTCTCTACTTTGCTGTCAGACTGGAGCTGACCCAGTGGGGTATGTCCCCTGTAGAAGGTCACCATGAGCTTTGCCACTGGTGCAACATCCTGAACTGTGCACTGCAGAGTGTACTGATGCTGCTCCACCATAGGGCCGGTGTGATTCAGAAACTGGATGGAGACTCTTTTTGGTGGGTCTATAATGGCAGGGATAGGTCATTTACCTTAAAGTGTCACATTGTTCTCACATGTTAAAATTAAATGGTAACTTACTGTAGACTATGGAAGGAAGAGAAATGTTGCACGGCCCTCTCAGGTCAGAGGCTGCATAACATACAAGGTCGATGCTCCACTGAGTCACACTCTCCACACTCCACACCAAAAAACTATCAGTAGTGGGCTCTGTTAATCCCTGTGTTGGCATAAAGTTACAAATATAAAAAACTAAGGAGCTTTTTTTAGAGAGAGAGGTGGAACACAGTATCTGTCACTGCTGCAGTTCTGTGTTATCTTTCATCCAGATGTTTCCTTTCTCTCTGCAAATTCTAACCTCATTTAGACATGCAAGCTAAATCCTTACCTTACTGGAAAATAAAAATGTCAAAGCAAATTCCACACATCAGATACATTTTTAAAGTACAGTTCTGTAAAAATGCCATGGCTTCATTTCAATATTTCAGGAGATTACAAAGATAACCAGAGTAAATACAAAATCTCCATATGATACATTCATTAAGAGCCAAAGTTCTCTCTTTGTCTTGACAAAAAGACATTTCCCCTGAAACTACTGTAACTACTGGTTGCACCACCCTTGTTTTAAAAATAGTCTCACTGGTAATGAGGATTCTAAATCACTGTGGACTGCAGGAATTTAGTAGCATTGTTTAAACTCAGCCCACTGTAAGGTTATTTCAGCATAACTGGTCCCTTGAAGGCCCTGTTATGTCTACTTAAATCTGCGCTTTAAATAGAACATGCTAAAACATTTAGGCTTTTTTAGACATTGAGATTGACTTGTTGATGTGTTTTGGATTATTATTATTGTGCATGAACCCTAGCATGCTTAAATTAACTGAAAATGTTAGTTCAGCTTTCATAGTTTTCTGGTAGACAATAAAAATTAATTCTTCATTTAATCAAAGCATGCCATGATGATCCTGTAGGAGCAGTTCAGGGGGTCTAATGTTAACCACTGTATCAGATGAAACGGGAAGGAGTTGGCCCTGCAACCAGAGGGTTGTCAGATTAAGTCCTTGTTCCGACCTTGTTGCGGAATGACTCAATGTATTCCGCCATTTACACAAAACTCCATAGGATGTTTTTAAGTTTTGTATGTCAAATTATTTGGCAAATATGACTTTTGAGGTCTGTTTTTAATTGGAACCCTCCAATGAATAGCTTTCATTATATTTTAAATCATGATCACTGACCTTAACTGAGGCAAGTAAGGCCTCGGTTGAGACCTCCTTTCTGATTTGGGTTTTATTTGCTTTTGGAGTACCAAGTTGTTTTGGCATATTTGTATTCAATTATGTTATGATTATTAGAACTATGGTGTCTGGAGAAATAGATTTATAGTTTGTTGAATAATTTATCTTTAAAAGTTTGAAGATATGAGAGCTGTCTGTGATTAGACTCATGGTGCTTTTGTTTTAATTGCAAAAACCAAAAAGCTTGTTTTTATCTGTAAACAGCAGTATAGATGCTAATCCTTGAGTCTGCCTTAAACCTAAACCTCTATAAAAACAAATCAACTACAGCTATATATTTACCATTATATCATTGTTTGCTCATCAGATTTTTCACTTTTAAAATAATGTATTCTGAGGTTGTTCTGAAATTAAAACTCCTGAGGTACAACCTAAATTTATGATAGCAATTGTGTATTGTCTATACAGCATGATATTTTACCCCTTTTTTTTTTTTTTCTTACCGGATTAGATAACCAGCCCAGTAAAAAGTGGTCTTTGCTTGGGTTGGAGCAGGTTGCTTCTGCAGGATCTCCAAACCTAAAACATTAGAGTTTCTTGAAATGGTTGGAAATAATAGTTTCCTTTAAGAGCTGCAGAAGAACTGTGCCCTTTCCAGTCATACCTGACGACAAGAGCTGAAGGTGAAATCATCAGATTGCAGTCAACTTGGGCCCTCGACTCAGCAAAGCTGACTGCGGAAGTGGGAGGCGGCAAGCGGACAGATGGGAAAAGGAGGTGTGGAAGAAGTGAATCAGGAGTAATGAAAGGAGACGAGGTAGCTGAAATAAAACAGAGCAAGAGAAAATATGAGATAAGTCACACTCATACAGTACAGAAATCAAAGAGAGAAATTATCTAAAATTTTTGATTGTTTTGTCAAATTTTTCAAACCCCAAAGTGGACAAAACATCATACATCCAGCCATTTTCTGACACGCTTATCCTTGCTGGGTTCGGGAGGGGTACTGGTGCCTATCTCCAGCTGTTATGGGCGAGAAGCGGGGTACACCCTGAACAGGTCACCAGTCCATCGCAAGGCAACACAGAGACAAACAGGACAAACAACCATTCACGCACACACTCACACCTAAGGAGAATTTAGAGAAGCTAATTCACCTAACAGTCATGTTTTTGGACTGTGGAAGGAAGCCGGAGTACCCGGAGAGAACCCCCACTTATTCAGGGTGAACATGCAAACTCCATGCAGAAAAAAACCCTGGGCCGGGAATGAAAGCCGGAACCTCCTTGCTTGAAGGCAGCAGTGCTACCCACTGCACCACTCTGCAGCCTAAAAAAAACATTATACACCGTTTATAAATTAATTCAACATTCTAACCTAAAGGTTAATCTGTTAAAAGTATAAGTGTGCTGGTATGAGCAGAATGGTGAAGTCCAACCATTTGGATGGACTTTCTTCATATAGGAAACTGGTTCTGTGTCCCAGAGATGAAAGTTTTCTGGTGTGAAATGTTTGAGTCAACCACATAAAAGCAAAACACCTTGTGAAGACCTTGATATAATTCTGAAGAGAGTCTCTACAGTGAAACCTGTCCTGTATCAATGCGGGCTGAAAGGCCACTCAGCGAGGAAGAAGCAATTAGTCAGGAAGCAACACAATGCTACATTAGTTTGCAAATGACTGGGATAAATACTTCACATTGGGGAGACATGGGCTGTAGTTTCACTGAACAAAAAAAAACCCACATTTGGCCATGACAACGTTACATTTGGAGAAGTAAAACAAACGTCAGCTGAAGTACAAGGGGGGCAGGATTGTGCAATCAAAGTCACAAAACAAGCTTAAATTGGAATCTCACTGTATTATTCAATCGTGTGGAATCATTAGAAAAATCATCTCGATAGATCAGCAAAAGGGGTTGGGAAGAAACTAGACTGAAATAAACAATGCCAGTACCTCGTTTGTACTCCAAACGAGGTAAAAAGGTTTAAGGTCAAAACGGTAAATAACACAGAGCTCTGATTTCAGTCCCAGTGCAAATTTAAGGACAGAACTAAGGTGAATGAGGGGTGAGGGGACAAACCCCTTCTTCCAGGAGGAATGGGCCAAGAATAAAGCAAATGAAAAGAAGTCTAAATGTTTCTCAGAAGTCTTACGGATTAAAGACAAATCTGGTTCTCAATAATAATCTAGTTTAAAGTCCAACACACTGGGAAAAGTTATCAACCAAAAGTATACATGACTGTCAGATTTTCCATTATCGAAGTCTTTGTAATATATTAAGCATGAACACATGTTCATTCCCTGAATACAACAATCCACTTCTCAGTCTATTTATCTTGGCATTATGAGGCATGACCTCAGAAATCTCTTGCCTTTGCGTAATGCAGGCCAGGGTCAAACAAATGTTGCCATGTAGTGAAATATAACCCATTCTGTTAATCTGTTGTAAACCATTGTTTCTTCACACACTGAATACACCCAGCATGTTCCTCCGAGGAAGGAAGGACACCCTGCCCAAGTCAAAAGAACCTACTCCTCTTTTTGAATTGACCATTGTTTCAGTGAACCCCGAGGCTGGTCTCCTATCTGATGATCTCAGCCGCAGGAGACCTGCTGGCTGTCAAACGTATTGTTGTGGTTCCCTCTTTGCCAGCCTACAGGCAGAAGGTCTCCCCTAGACAGCTGAAATTTCAAACTACCACTTAAAAAAAGGAATTACACTTTTAAACGTAAATTTAAATAATTAGTGATGCTATAGTGATTGGGTTTCTTTCTAAATTAACCTGAAATTTTAAACTGAAAGTGCTCTCTCTTATGATAAGTATAAATTTTTCATTACAGCAAGTGTTGTAAGGTGAGTAGTTTTTAAAACCTTTTTCTTACGCTATTATTTTAGATCCATTTATACTGTTTTGCAATTCTAAAGCAACTAAAAATGTTTCGATATTAATATTCTAAATAGAAAATCTAAATTTGTTTAGAAATTTGTCTATTGATTAATTCAAATAAATGTTCCAATATAACCTTTAATTCCTTTGTTCTATTAATCTTTCCCCAAAATCTAGTGTTAAAGTTTAGATATGTTCAAATTTAGTTAGACTGCAGTTATACATCCATGCATATCAGCACAGTTGCAGATATTGGGGAGATAGCTGTTAGGAGTGTTGGCCTAGTGCAGCGGTTACCAACCTTTTTACAGTTGAGGGCTAATTCAGGGATACTGAGTCACAGGAAGGGCTACCAATACTGAACTATAAATTGCAAGGGTCAACGTTCACCTCAACTTCATACATTATAAACATATCTTTATCGTTTCTTTCAATTTAGACATTTTCATTTTGAAATCTCTATAAATGCTTAAATGCCATATATGATTAAATGATGAAATGTTCTATAACTGATTTAAAAAAAAAAGAGCAACAGAATGCAATGAAATTGCAAACGTAGCTCACTGTTGAGTCGTTCTATTTTCAGAAGACTCTAAGGGCACCCTTTGTAGTCCTTGAGGGCCCCTTGGTGCCCGCGGGCACCATGTTGGTGACCCCTGGCCTAGTGGGTTAGAGCAGTGCGCTTGTGCTCTGAGAAATTTGCAAGTATCTGGTACGATCCTCCACTCTGGGTTAACCCCTGATTGCTCCCTGGGCGCCGCACAATAGCAGCCCACTGCTCCCCAAGGGGAATTGTCAAAATGCAGAGAACGAATTTCCCCATTGTGGGACAATAAAGGGATTTATGTACTACCAATGTGCTACTAGTTGTGAGCTTTAGTTCTTCAGTCTGCTCAAAACCCATATAAAGTATATGCAGCTTATCAGTTTATTTGCAATCACCTGTTATGAAGGTGTGCACCTTACTTAATCTTTTTCATCCAACAAACTAAAATAAAATTTCTATACCCTGACCTTGTTCATGTAAGGAAATACTTATCATAACACTCTTCCCTAGGTCATTTAACTCACCTGAACCAATGAGGTGAATCAGCAGAAGCATTAGCGTCCATCCAGCTGCACACATCCTCCCCTGGTTTTCCTCACCTTCTGTTCAAAGGATAAAATATAGACACTTTGATTCTTAGAGTCTGATGCTTAATGCTGGCCTGGCCACAGACTGGGAGCTCTGAGAAAACAAAAGGGGTACTTCAAGCTTTTATGAAAATGTGGGTGTGTGTTTGTGTGTACTTGTTCTGCACTGATGATCAAGCAGTTCCTTTGCTCTGGGCCCTGAAAGCCACCCTGGGCGTTCTCTGTTGGTATATCAGAAGAGGAAGGAAGGGAGGGTCAAGAATAATCCAGTGTAATGCTGCAGCGTCAAGAGGAGGAATCAAGTTTGTCTGAGTGTGTTTGTTTCTGATTAACTTGAATGGACTGCTGATCAGCTCATAATACCAACAAATATTTGGATGTAAGTACTCTCATTCTGCTAAGAAATTGGATTTTAAAAATTACATGACCCTGTTTAAAACAGTAAAGAAAAAAAAAATTCCAGAATGGAGAAGCTTAATTCAGCACAAAATATTTCTCTATCTTAAACCAGTCACTGGTGTCAAAAATCTAATAGCTCACTTGTGTTCTTTTGAAACAGGGGCTCTCAGTGCTTGATATGTACAGGGCCTTGTCAAAATATTCATCCCCCTTGAACTTTTTGACCTTTTGCCACATTTCAGGGTTCAAACATGAAGATATGAAATTGTAATTTTTTATTACAAATTAACAAGTGGGAAAACTAAACTAAAAAAAAAAAATGGTTGTGCAAAATGATTCAGCCCCCTTGAGTTAATAGCTACCTAGTAGCGCCACCTTTTGCTGCGACTACAGCTGCAAGTCACTTGGGGTCAGTCTCTATCAGTTTTGCACATCAAGAAACTGAAATTTTCGATTAGATTCAGGTCTGGACTTTGACTAGGCCATTCTAACTCCTGGATATGTTTATTTGCAAACCATTTCATTCTAGATTTTGCTTTATGTTTAAATTCTTGTTGGAGGATAGATCTCCATCCCATTCTCAGGTCTTTTGCAGACTCCAACAAGTTTTCTTCCAGAATGGTCCTGTATTTGGCTCCATCCACCTTCCCATCAATTTTAATCATCTTCGCTATCCTTACTGAGGAAAAGCAGGCCCAAATTATGATGCTGCCACCACCATGTTTGACATTGAGGATGGTGTGTTCAGGGTGATGAACTGTGTTTCTCTTACACCAAACATAACATTTTACATTGTTGCCAGAAAGTTCGATTTGGGTTTCATCTGACCAGAGCACCTTCTTCCACCTGCTTGCTGTGTCTCCTCGGTGGGTTGTGGTAAACTTTAAATCATACTTTCTATGAATATCTTTAAGAAATGTCTTTCTACCATAAAGGCAAGATTTGTGCAGTACTATACGGCTAGGGCGAAAAAGAAGAGTTGATATCTGGGCACACTTCAAATATGACACTAAGGACAACAAGACAGCCTACAAACCGTGTGGAGCCAAAATATCCGGAAAAAACACCACCAACTTGAAACGGCATTTGCAGACGACTCATCCAGAGATACATGCGAAGGTAAGCATACAAGCTAAGCATACAAGGTTATTTTTTATTTGATTAACCGCCGTGTTTGCGCTAAACTTTCAGGGAGCAAAGCCACAGTTAATCTTCTTGAAATTCAAAATAAAATACATGTTTTGTATCTGTAACTGTTCAATCTGTGTCTAAATCTAGATAGATACTTTATTGATCCCTAAGGGGAAATTCAAGTCTACGTCAAATCTAGACTGAGACTAAACTAAGACTAAAAGACTTAAGACTAGACTAAGACTAAAACTCTTTTGACATTTAGTCGACAAAAACTAGACTAAGACTAAAAGATTTCAGATGACTAAAATATGACTAAAACTAAATGGTGTGTTATTCAAAAGACTAAGACTAAATCAGAATTTGCTGTCAAAATTAACACTGGTTTACGGTTATGGAGAAGGAGTTTGATCCAGGAGAAGCTGAGTATCCCAATGAGAGGAGGCTGGCAGGAGAGATTATGTGAGACATAGGCCCCGTCCACACGAAGTCAAACCCTGGCCTAAATTCACTAATTTTTCACCAAACCAGCCTCTCATCCATACGAAGCCAGCGTTTCGGGGGTCTGGAAACAATCTTTTTTTTTATTAAGCCTTCAGAGTGGGAAGATTTTGAAACGCCGTTTTCACGGTTCCATCTTTAAGCTCTGACCGCATTTTTTTTCTTGCACGCATGCGTCACAGCGTCGCCTCTAAACACGCATGCGCGACACAGTATCACAACAACAATGGCGCCGTACTGTGTTGAATGGTTGCTGCTCATGCTACTCACCCTGCTGTCGGGCTTACAACAGAATCTTCTTCTTCTGGAATATCTCCAGGAAGAACAGAGCAATATAGACAACATAGTTCAGCACCTGAATTTGACTTAACCACGAAACCAGGCGGATATAACTGCGCATACCCAACATTTCGTTGCCTGTTTTCACCTATTTTTGCTTTGGCACCACAGCGCCACTTACAGGCCTGGCATACATTTTGCAGCGTTTTCATGCATTCATGTGGTCGATCACATTTATTTTACGTCTCCCTCTTTAAGACAAACGTTCTGGAAAATATTAGCGTTTCGTGTTCGTTTTGACTTCGTGTGGACGGGGCCTAAATTGAGGATGCAAAGATGAGGAGGGTTGACAGGCAGGTGAAGATGAACAATCTGAGTTGGAAAGATCCAGAAGAAGGAAGGATTACAGCAGAGAGTTAATGTAAGAGAATCTTTGCAAGCAATGGAACTTGACTCAGGACCTGAAAATAACCAGAATAACTCCATGACAGCTGAGAAAGATTCAGACAAGAAGCCAATGGCATGATATACTTGCAGTGGCAGTAGGTGGGTAAACATCACAACAATCCCCCAACTGGGCTACATCCAAGCATTTGCTAACTTACGTGTTAGTATCCACAAAATAAACTGGTGCATCATGGGTAATGTGGGGCTAAAGGGGGGCACAAACTTTTTATACACGCCTTGCAGAGAGGAGGAAGGGAAAGCAGAAACACAACCATTACTGCAGACATCTCAGGCTTTTATTTGATTTGTGTAAAAGGCTCATTTTTAACGAGTTGTTACAGGAGTCCTACCTAAAATCTGCACAGTAAAACAATACAGTTCAAATTCTTGCAATCTAGGTGTGGTAGATTTTGAGCAAGATTCAGATGCTGTCTCATTAAATCCAGCAGAATAACCATTCAGTCCAGTTAACTGAAGCCTCACTGATCAAGGAATGGGGTGATCTTAAATTGGTAGAAAACTTTTATTTCATGTGGATGCACCTATTGTTTAACAGCGTCTTACAACATATTCACAGCTGAGCTGTAGACCCAGAGTTCATCAAGGAACAACTGTTAATGTGACAACTGCAAGTATTACACTCTTAAATCTTGTCTTTATGTGGGAGTAACAAGAAAAGCAAAGTGTTGGATGAAAGTCCAAGCCAGTTATAAAGTCCATTTAAATGCAGTCATAAATGTAACCCTCTGAGATAAATGCTTGTTTATTTTATTATATATAACCCTAAACACCCCATCTAATTCTGCTTTAGATACTTAACGAAGAATGGCCAAAAGGGTTGGGCTCTGAGGACCCTAAACTGCAAGATACATAAAAACACATACCAAAATGTTCTTAGTGGGCTATTAGGAAAAACATGCTATACTATTAGGTCTGTAGTAAAACCGTGTTTTGAAAAACTTCATATAAAAAAACTTGTATTCTTTCACACGTTCTATTTAAAGGGATAACACATTAAATTTCAGGTGACAAAAAGGTAATGTGCATAGGCCTAGTGGTTTTAATAGAATAGAATAGAAATGTCCTTCAGAATAGAATAGTATAGAATTGTCCCTCAGAATAGAAAAGATTAGAATAGAATAGAATAGAATAGAATAGAATAGAATAGAAATGTCCCTCAGAATGGAATAGAATTTTTCGTAAGAAAAGAAAAGAATACAATCGTCTCTCAGAATAAAATAGAATAGAGTAATACAGAATGCTTACAATATGGAGGGATTGGGAAACTAGATGCTCTCTAAACTTCCTGTTCTCAAAAGTGAAAGTAAGTATATATTATTGCGTAATTTCCTTTACCGTCTACTGTACATGTAGCCTCATGCTACACAGCTGCCCTCGGGAATAAAAACCCTTTTTTTAAAACTTTAGAAGGAGACTTGAAGGATTTGCTTTGTGAAGCTGCTGCACCTTCTTCTTTGACAGATTCCAGCTGTGCCAGGTGCGCAAAAACTCACTTTTTATTCACAACCAGGAGGTAAGATCACCAACTTCTCATTACTTCCTGTCTGTTCTCGGTCCCATGCATAGATAGCTATTTATAAGGAGCTTGATGTTCACATGCAAAGCTTTGTAGACTCTTAATTGTGCGTAAATGATTTATAGTTCTAGTTTTAAAACGTTCATTAGAAAGGTTTGGTTTAAAAACCTGATTAAGTCACAAATCTAAAATAGAGACTATCTAGATCCAGATGTGATTCATTTACATATATCCTTTTTTTCTTCTTCTACAAAAATGAAACCTTTCTGCAACCACAGCATTTAGGCAGTCAGCTATAATCGCTTTTTTCCCCCAAAACTACCCTCTGATCACGCTGGGAGACTATTGTATTTATACTCCTCCTCTGGTGGGAAGAAAATGTCTGCAAATTGCAGCACTGGAAGAAAGTATAAAAGAAAAACCTTTAATAGCGTTACCAGACAGTACTTTACTGTCATTAAAATCATGTGTATGCTATCTCAAGTTTATCCTAAAAAATTCCTGTTGCTCAAAATTAAGGAAAATCCCAAAACCTGCGACCTATATAGCAAAATACTCATTAAAGTCATTTTAGTTCTTTATGGGATAGAAAACAATTTGAAAACAAATTTCTAAATAAAAAAGCTTTGAATAAAGGAATTTCACTTTGGAAAAGCATCATCATTTAAATAGATAATTCCTACACTAACATTTTTTCTATTAATGAAAAAAAAAACAATAAACTTACCACAGCGGATTGTAGAACCAAAAAACTCTGCAGTTAAAATAACCCATTGTAATCAT